ATCATGCCTGGCTTCTAAATTTGCTTTCGGGGGTCTTTATTGTGAGCCATTACAAATCCTCTTAGACAGAGGGCTGGGTTTAGAAAATAAATGAGGCAGAAGAAAGCAAGGGGTTCTAATAGAGGTCCCCTGCTCACCCCCACCAGAAGCACCCCCTTCCTGCTTCCCACTCCACCTACACTCTCCTGCCTGTGCTTTCAACCAAGCACCCAAGGTCAATTTGATCTAATGTATATAATTATCCACTGCCTCCCATTTGAGCTGCTGCTGCTGCTGCTGCTGCTCTGCCTATGAAAACACTCATGACCCCTGGCGAGGTCGGGGCTGGCGGGGAGAAGTTCATTAGTCTTTATAGCCTCGGTAATATTTCACCCGGAGGCAGCGGGTGGATCGGCTCCCCCGCGCTGCAGCTGCCCTGTGACGCCGCCTGCAGGCACCGCCTGGATTGATCACATGCACAGTGACACGGAGGCTGCTCTCGGTGTGGGACGCGTACACACCGCGACTCTCGACTCTCGCGTGGGAGGGGAAGGACCCCTGTCAAAGGCAGAAAGGTGTCCTCAGAGATGGCGTGTTCATGTCGCTGGGAAAGTTCTCTTCACCTGGTACCTCTTTCCTTCAAACCTAACCCCGTCTGCCCCCCACCTCCCCGGAGGTCCCATATTTTTGAAGTGGATGGATGAATGGGGTCAAATCTGCTGAGTAACAGATGGAGCGCCCGAAGTAACAGGGTCCCCGTATCTCTTACTCAGCCAAGCAGAGGGGGTTGGAGAAGGTGCTAAATAGTCAAGATAAGAGCTACAGGCTCTTAAGTGGATGTCCAGAATATTAATATTTTTCCGCTCTCGTAAACATAGAGCTAGGGCTACTTCTAGCCCATTCAGTCCCTTTGTGCAAGTGAGAAAAGGTGCCCTTCCCGCACTTGGACCTGCTAGGGAACACTGAGGATGGTGCAGCCGGTTGAGTGGCAGCTGCATGTCAGCGCCTTTGCGGGGTGAACGACCTGCAAACTTGTGCCTGGAGGCTCTGGCTAGGGAGGAGGAAGTTGGTCCCTGAGGAAGCCCCTGAGCTTTACTGACGCCCCGCTCATCCTCCCGCCTGCCCTGCAGCTGTGCCCAGAGCCCTGCGGCAGGAGGAGCAATATTTATTTAAGGAAAGAGAGGAAGGAAAATAGGAGCAATATCCGATGTCCTCCTCCGGGAGCTTCATAAGTGAGATTTTGTGAAGGAGCAAAACAAGCAAAAGCCAAACAGCCTACTGCTAGGTCTGGTGGAGGAAAATAAAGCAAAGTGAAATAGAGTCCAATTAGTTTGCTTAAACAATATTAAATTCCAGAGGAAAAAGGAAAGAAAGCTGTGCTGACATTCCTTGGAGCTGAAGAGAAGGGCCAAGCAATTATATTAGAGAAAACAGATAAGTTTTCGAGTTACCAAATAAAGAAGCAATCACAGAGATAAAAGCAGGCGCTTTCCCCAAGTGGAAAACATAAGGAAATCATTCATCACCTTCCCAGGCAGAGCCGTGCACCTGATCCGGAGACAAATAAGGGGTTGTTTTTTAACAACGGTGTTATCACAAGTGCCCGATTCCTTTGCCTTAAGCTAATTTGGATTAATCTGTTTCCCTAGAAGGCTATAAAATTCTTCCTTTCCCCCATAAACCTTTGGAAGGACAGATGGTCATTCATCGGCACATGAAGCTTAAGTTTTCTCTTTGCTCCTAAGGTGACGGACGGAGAGAAGGCGGGACATGGGGGGGGGGGTCAGGCTGGGAAGAGATCAAATCTTGGATGGGTTTGGAAGTTTAATATCTCCGCTGTTTCTCTGTCTCCATCCTATAGACAATAAGCTCCTCTCCTCCTTTCAGAGTCGGCTTTGACCTGCTGTACCCCAGAGCAGAGATTTTGTTCATCTTTTTCAAGTCACAGATCCCTTTGGGAATCTGGTCAAAAGGATATAGATTTCCTCCTCAGAAAAAATACACAAGCTGGTCATGGTGGTCCACGCTTATAATCTCAGCACTCTGGGAGGCTGAGGCAGGAGGATCAAAAGTTGAACTCAGCCTGGGCAATTTAGAGACTTATCAATACCTGTATCCTGTCTCAAAATTTCAAAAATTTTTTTAAAAAGGACTGAGGGTGTAGCTCAGTGTGAATGACCAGATTTCAATCCCTAGTAACATACACACACACACACACACACACACACAAATTTGCTCACACATACTGTCAAAAGATTGGTGTACCCCTGAAACCATGCTGGGATCCCAAGTTCAAAACACCTAGAATCGGGATTGGATACCATTTTGGAGCGGGGCCTGGAAGCTAAATGGTCACATAAATTGTCCATTCTGCTCTTTGAATGGGCTTGAGTCAGGCATGGTGGTGCACGCCTATAATCCCGCACTCAGGAGGCTGAGGCAGGAGGATCATTGCAAGTTCGAGACCAGCCTGGGCTACAAAATGAGCTCAAGGCCAGCCTGAACTGCACAGTGAGATCCTGTCTCAAAAAGACTAAAATAAAATAAAATAAATGAGCTTGAACGCCTTCACGAATTCAAAGGAGCTGCGTGGAATTGACTTTCTTAGCTGAGGCCTTGGGGAAAGAAGAAACCGGCAGGATAGTGCTAGTGTGAGCACTGTCAGCAACACTTCAACATTCAAGAGGTTAGATCTTGATGCACACAGTGGTGCACACCTGGAACCTCAGCTACTGGGGAAACTAAGGCAGGAGGACTGAAAATTTGAGCCTAGCTTGGTCAATTTAGCAAGACCCGGTCTCAAAAAAAAAAGTTTCTGTTGCCACGAAAGGTTAGCCTGTAATTTATAGGTGATGCCACAAGGTGGCAGTGCTGCAGTCCTACTGCTGCCCAGCTGGCCGGCTCTGGATTCCACAAACAGGTAATTCCCTCTCAACTATTCTGATAACTCTGAATAAACAGAGACAAGTACCTGTCTACCAAATATCTACTGCTGGTCCAGGCACTGGGGTATGAAGATAAAGAAAGTGCTTCGGTGCTTTCACATTACACATAGCTGTCTTTTCATTCCTGAAACTCTTTGTACCGCCTTCCAGAATCAAGTGGTCAGGACCTATGTACCTATGTACTTCTCTAATTTCACAAAACCTGTGTGAGCTGTGCCTGATGCTCCCCTCACCCCAGCTTCTAACATGATGCACTTTTTTTTCTGATTAATCAAAACCCGAATTATTAAGCTAGCAAGCTACTGTGCAGACAGAGGAGTATTACTGTCAACACAGAGTTCCTTATGTTCTCTCTTCATCAGCTAGAGGTGTGAGTCCTCAGTGTCCCACCACTCACATCACACACACACACACACACACACACACACTCACACGTTTTTTCTTTTTCTTTCTACCAGGGATCGAACTCACGACCTTGCACTTGCCAGGCAGGCGCTTATGCCACTGAGCTATATCCCCGGCTCCATCACACGCGTTCTTTAGGCTGTTGGGAAGTAGCTCTGCTTCCATGAGGAAGTTTGGCTCAGGCGCTGGAGGAAACTTTCTCTGATTCTCTCTCACAGTATCCGTGTTCTCTGAAATCCCAAGCCCTGCTGACCTGACATTCAGCAGGAATTCCCTGGCATTTCAGCTCCTGTGCACACATCCTTGCAACATGTTGTGGGGCATGTTGACCACCGCTGGGCACCCTCGGTGAGATGCTTTTTTATGTTTATTTATTTATTTATTTATTTTTGTCCTTTTGAGACAAGTCTCTCTATGCAATTCAGGCTGGCCTTGAGCTCACTTTGTAGCTCAGGCTGGACTCGAACTTGCAAGGATCCTCCTGCCTCAGCCTCCAAAGTGCTGGGATTATAGGTGTGCACCACCACGCCCGGCTCTGAGGTGCTTAATAAGCAGCGTTGAACCCGGTCGGCAGGATGTGAACGGCCAGACAAGGGCTTGGGGGGCTCGCCAAGCAGAAGGCACAAAGACATCTAGGTAGGGAACCCCAAAGCCCTTGTAAGAGAGATGAATCCACCCAGTGTGACCATGAAGGTGTCACGGAGGTGGAGAAGAGATTGGAAGGTAGGGATCCGCCGGGCTGAAGGGCCCCCAAGGGCCAGATGGAAGCACCTGAGCTTTGTCCAGTGGGCAATGGGGAGCCAGCAGGGGTTCCAGGTAAAGGAGCTCTCGGCAGATGCACAAAGGCATGCTGGGAAGGCAGGTCCCAGAGGGAACCCCTGCACCCACTTAACAAGGAAAGATAGGCTCAAGGAGACAGCGGAAGGACGGCTTAACAGAATCTTGAGGACCCCATCCCTGGGGCCGCGCACCCCGGTCTCTTTCCTCCCACTCTCCCTCCCGCCTCTGTCCCCTGCAAAATCCCCGGCTCGCTTTCCCTGGGCTGATGGGTGCCTGTGACCCTAGGCGTTCCGCTCCCCTAGGTATGTGTGTAGCTGTGGGGTCTTCCGCCGGGACGCAAGGGTGCTCCCTAGACCCCCGCCCCAGGGGAACTGGGTCTGCCGCATAACATGGGTTTGCGTTCTGGTGGCTCCCGGGTGTGAGGCCTGGGCTGAGGGGAAGGGAAGCCAGAGGCAGAGACACCCTGAGTTGAGTTCCCCAGTTCTGAGCCCAGAGGAGCAGGTGATGCAAGATCTTCACCCCGTCCCGCCCCGCAGTGTCCCAGGGGCTCGAGCCTGTGGCTGTGCTGCCGGCGTGACCACCAGGGGGCAGCGGCGCCCGCGTGATGGGCTACGGGCACCGGCGACCGAGGGCTGCGGAGGTGGCGCGGGGCTCCGCGTCCGGAAGCCCGAGCTCGCAGCTGCGGACCCTTCCCAGCCCCCTCTCCCCGGGGAACAGGGCCTCGCCCTTCAGGGACGAGGTCCTCCTGGGGTCTCTTGGGGAGCCGCTCCTTGGTCTCCACGAACACCCGCGCTCAGCCCCAACCCAGTCACAGGAGCCGTGTCCCTGCAGCCCCGACATCCTCACCCACCACCTCGCTGCGCTGCTCCGCCCTCTGTGCACCCACCTTTTCCTCTTTGCATCGTGGGCTCCCCGGCGCCTGTCCCGGGGAGCACGGGGAGCTGGTAGGGACTGGGCTGGGCTACAGGGTCTCCAAAGACCCTCCAGGACCACAGGCTTTGTATTTTCAGCTTTTCAAGACTTGCTTCTCAGGATTGTCCCGGCTTGTAGAGAAGGGACAGTGCTGCCAACCACTGAACAAATCCATTCTCCCCATTCCATAGATGGAAAAACTGAGCCCCGGAGCAGAGAAATGCCTGGTCACACACCCTGGGAAGGGTAGAGATAATCCTGGTGCCCTAGTCTCCTGGCCACCTCCCCCCAACCCCTTCCTGCGGGAGCCCCAGTCTGAGGGGAGACACCCCCCTCCCAGGGTGTCTGTAGAGTGTCCCTCTCTTCCCTGTCACTGTCTTCCTCCCTCCCTGTTCCTTTCTGGGTCTCTGCAGCTTCTTCCCCAGCACGTGCTCTTGCACAAGCGCAATCACCCACATTCACACCCCTGGACGTGGAGAAGCAAGTCTTACACACGCACTCAGAACTAGATCTTAATAAGTGCCAAAGAGCACAGCCCAGGCTCTAGGAACTCCGGTGACATGGACAGGTGTGAGTCAGGTCTCACTCTCACAGGGAGACTCCAGGCCCGCCCTGACTCAGGGGCCTTGAACCCCCTTGCACTCTGAGGCTCTGAGTGACAGCTCCCTGATTGACTCACCCTATCTCCATGGTAACTGGATGGGGTGAGAGCTCCACCCCCTTGGGGCTGTTTCCTTGCACACACACACACACACACACAGGAAGTGCAGGGCTTGGCATCTTCCAAGAGTGTCCATGGCCCTTGTTTGGGCTTTAGGGCTGGGGGCGGTCAAGGGTGTGGGCAGGAAGGGACCCAAAACGGGGTTCCGGTGCAATGATATTTGTAAAACACCCTGTCTTTGCGTAGCCCTAGTCACGTTCTGTCCCCAGAAAGGGACACCCCAGTTTTATAAGCAACGTGAAGACCAGCGGCTACACGCTGGAATTGACACTGTCTGGGTGGGGGAAAGAATGGGGAGCATGTGTGAGTGATCTGGGGGTGCAGACGAACCGTGTAATCAACTGGTTTCAGCCAAGCTCCAGACCAGTTCTTTCCTTGCAGCCCAGGCTGGGGGAAGGGGGACGCAGAAATTGACACCAGCATGACCACAGATGCTCGAAGTGACAACTCACAGTGCCAGGGGCGCGGAGCCCGCTCGCGGAGAAGACAGGACACTGGAGCTGGAGTTGTCTTCCTTGGGGCCCAGGGCCTTCCTGGTGGAGCCTGCTAGCTCCCCTTGAAGGAAAATTTCCCAGTGTGACTGCGAATGTGTGATCCCAGCCATACAGGGAGGGCACCGGTACAGAGAGGAGACTGGGTCCTGGCTGGTTCCAAGGCACCGCCCTGCCCCGTCCACAGGGCTGGGGCGGCACCCAGCTCCCACTCCTCTTACCTTGGCACGTCCCGGGCAGAAATTAGGGTTCGGCCAGACTTCCTTGTGGTGTGGCCAGTCCTGAGCTCTGGGGACACAGGGGGAGGTGTTCGCCTCAGGGCCACTCTGCCAGGCTGGTGGGTGAACAAGACACTGATTCAGTGACAGCCACAGGGGCAGGGCAGAGTGAAGCTCTGGTGTCCTGGCCTTTTCCGTTTACCACTTCCAGTGCCACCCCCACCCCAGAGCTAAGAGAGCCAGAGAGACCGACGGGCACTGCCAGAATCAACACCAAGTTCCCGCGGACTGAGACAGAGGGACAGACACACTATGCAACAAGGGGGCCCTGTGGGCAGGCCAAGCTCACCTTTCTGATGTAACTTTCCTACACAGGCACACACAGAGCCTTTTGTGTGTCAAAGCCAAAGCCAATTAACCCGGAAAACACAAAGCTAAAAGGGTGGCTCCCGTCCAAAGGTGTCACAGCAGCCACCGATGCCAAGATGGAGAACTGGCCAGAGGAAGGTAGGAGGTGGCAACTGGTGGCTCCTCAAAGACACGCAGGGCACAGTGCCCAGGCGTGTGGTAGGCGCTTCTGGCTGGGACCTGCAAGGTCTTGATCTTGGATGCTTTCCTGGGAAGGGGATGGGACAACAAACCCTGTCAAACAAAAAACACCAACAAGTAGACAGATGGACATGAAGGGAAACCGAGGCCCTCTGTGATCACGCAACTGGAGAGCATCATCATTCACAGGCCAGTAGTGTTTGCCCAATGGAAGAGCATCCTGAAAATGCAGAACTGTGGGTCCCCAGACCTGCTGAACAGAGCCCTGGGGACCCACACACAGAAGCAACCTGAAGGGATCCCTCCTGGGAACTCACGGATGTGGACAAGGTTTCCCCCAGGTGAAGTAGGTCACAGATCTCAGAAGACTCTGCACTAGCATGTGGAAGGCACTTTGGAAGCCCAGCCTGATCATCTCCCAAGCTCCAGGCAGGGCTCCATCCCTGGCTTCTTCCATTTCCCTGTCGATGTTTGTTGTGGTGTCCTGCTAGGCACCAGCCTGAAGTGAGAGTCAGACATGGCCCCTTGCTGCCGCCCTTAAACTTCTTGATGTTCCCAGGGGAAAGACGGGAGAGGATGGGAAAAATAAGCAGACAAGAGCTGAGGTCAGGTGGAGCCCTCTCTCTGGACGGGAGGAAAGGGGTTGCTCCACCGCCGTAGGGGAGTTTATTTCTACATTTGACAAAGTTGATATCATGTGATATCACTTTGCCTAGCAACAGATTTCTTGGATTGTCTCTGGGCTTGGTGTTCTCTGGACTGAAGTGGCTTGCTCAGGTGGATTGCCTCAGGAGCTCTTTGTCTTCGAACCTGCTTGCCTAGCGTGTGATCAGTTTCTGGCTTCAGCCAGCTCCCGATAGTCCCTGCCCTCCTGGGGCTTTCTATCTGGTGGGTTGCCGGGTAAGGTTTCCCTGCACAAGCTGCATCTTGAAAAGGTCACCTCTGTGAAAAGGGGAAAGAAACATATCCCAGTTATTGGGACCAGCACATGGAAAGGCCCTTAGGTAGCACAGAATGTGGCTGGTTTGTCAATTTGACCAAATGACAGTGGGTAGGGAGAACCACTGTACTAAGATGAATATAAAATTCCCCAGTCAGGGGCTGGGGATTTAGCTCAGCGGCACAGCGCCTGCCTGACAAGCGCAAGGTCATGAGTTCGATTCCCGGTACCGGAAAAAAAACAACAAAAAAACAAACAAAAAATAAAAGTCCCCAGTCTGCCAGACTCCTGGTGCCCGCCACACCCTTGACCAGCAGGCCTCAGGGAGTCCCAGAATGTCAGAAATGGAAAGAACCTTGGGCCTCTTCCAGACTAACACTTTGAACCTGGCTTCAAGTCTCTTTCTCACCCTGTGTCAACTATAAATGTGAACTCTGGTCATCATTTTCTCATCTAAAAAAGTGTTGGGATATAAGAAGTGATACCTATTTTGCTCTAGCTCCTGCCCTTTGATCCCTTTCTATTCCTTTTTTTTTTTTTTTTTAGTACTGGAGATTGAACTCAGAGGCAAACACTCTACCTCTGCACTACACCCCCAGCCTCTTTAATTTTTTATTTCAAGATAAGATCTTACTAAGTTGCCTAAACTACTCTTAAACTTGAGATCCTCCTACCTCAGCCTCCTGAGTAGCTAGGATTACAGGTGTGTGCATAACACCTGGCTTGTACTCCTTTCCTTTTAAGGACATGATCCAGATACTGCCCATGTCACTTTTGCTCCCATCTCATTGGCTAAAACTTAGTCATGTGGTCCTACATAGCTGCAAGAGAGTCTGCTCAGCATAGTCTTTAGCTGGCCAACCAGATGCCTGGATAAAAATGCAACTGTTAAGAGTGGAACATGGATACTGTGGGGGCAACAAGTACTCTTTGCCACTGGCGTGATCCAAGGTCGCAAGGTAGGTTTCAGTCAGGTCTTTCCAGGGTTCTGCCCTTGGCCTTGAGCTGGCCTGGACTCATTCCCTAAGTGGCCAGAGCCACTCCGTTCCTGCTACCTTCAGGGAGTGGCCTCAGCCTGTGGATGCTTTTCTGGTGTTGCCTTGCAGTGACTGAGCTGGGCCAGGCCCTTCCTCATTCCCGTAATCCACATGCTGGGTTCCCAGTGGCTCCCCGGCAGGTTTCCAGCAGCCATGCCTGGCAGAACCCACCAGGCAGTGGTCAAAGGCTCGGGTGGGCTCGGTGGGTGCCGGCTGGGTTTTTATTCTCTGCCCCGAGCCAGGCCCAGGGTGGTCCCTGCAGTCAGGTAAACAGCTGGCGGCAGCTGCCGGAGTGGCCCAGGAGCCCTTTCCCACCAGATCGTCTGACCCTGCAGAGGCCAAAAGCAACACCAGCAGATTCCGAAGCCCGTGGCCCGCCCACTGTCTGGGCTCCTTCTCAGGGCCTCTGCATCCACTGCTGTGTTCCCCACGAGGATCAGGGCTGGGGTGAAGCAGGGGTTACAGCGGAGCAGTTTCTCCGCTTTGCTATGGACACAGGAGGCTGGAGGATGCTTCTCCCCTGTGCACTGCAGGCATTTAGCAGCATCGCTGGCCTCTGCCTGTCACCCACCCCAACCCCCAAGTTTCCAGCTGTGTCCCAGGGCTGGGGGGAGCCCTGGCTGAAAACACCCGTGTAGGGTAAAAAGGCAAAGTCAGGGACGAGGGGGTGGGGAAAGAGAGAGCAGAAGAAGGGGAGGGGGAGAGAGAAACAGGGAGAGATATTTTTAAAGGAATAAGAGAAACAGAGTGAGAAAATGAGCTGAAAAGGGGGCAGGGAGGAGAGGGTGTCGGATGGGTCATCAGACCCCCGGAACCGCTGGAGACTGAGACGTCTGGGGCCGGGCATGGGAAAAGGGGCAGTGCAGAACTCCGGGGTTGGGGTCAAACCTGAGGCCCGGGCATCCCCAGCCCTCAGCAGCCCAGGAGTTCTTAGGGATCATCAGGCAGAGTCCTGGGCTCCTCAAGCTTCTCCTGGGTTCCTAGCCAGCTTCCTCCTTAGCGGGACAGGAACCCGGATACGGGGTCCCCTAGCTATTTCCCCCCTCAAATCCAGGGGACTCAGCAGATTCTTGGGAAACTGGCCCAAGAGAAAGGACCTACAGACACAGTATTCAGGGAGCGCATGACAAGAACGTCAGCTTGCCAGTGCGTACACCAGGCATAGCCCTGGTCATATAATCGGAGCTTCTGTCTTAAAGATGAATAGACAATAAGGGCTCCCTGGGCAATATCAGACAGACCACACATTGAAAAAGAGGAAGCAAAATAAAGAAACGTGAAAGAATGCTTTAAAGACTCAGAGACAGTGCCAAGAGCAGAATACAGATACGCACATTCCCCCCGTATCCCCATATACCAAGTCTGTCTTGGAGATATTTTCAGAAAAATGCTGCAACCTTTGAAACAAGAATAAGATGCTATGTGAAAAGGTAACATCTGCAGAATAAGAAGCGGCTCGTGGAAATTAAAAATGTGACAGCAAAGCCAGGCACGGTGGTGCACACCTGTAATCCCAGCACTCAGGAGGCTGAGGCAGGAGGATCGTTGCCAATTCGAGGCCAGCCTGGGCCACAAAGTGAGCTCAAGGCCAGCCTGCACTGCATAGCGAGACCCTGCCTCAAAAAACACACACACAAAAATATGACAACAACCTATGCAGTATTCTTGCTAAGAATATTTTACTTGAATCTGTGATCCCATTTCCAGTCTCTAATAAATACAAGCGCTAGACTAAAGTAAAGGGGTACCAGTTTCCTTGCCAGAGACCGAGCTTCAGGCATGGGGCATTGAGTGCCAAGAAAGAGAAAACAACAATCTTAAAACACCCGCTTCCGCCCACTGTGGAAATTCAAGGTCACGTGGCTGAGCCGGACCTTTGACGCCAACTTGCCAGAAAAATCCAGTAGGTGAGCACCCACCCTTTGCCCTAGCACTTTCCATGACAGGGCCCTAGCTCAACAGGAAGCAATCGGACAAATCCAGAATGTAGGAAGACATTCTCCAAGACGATTTGCCTAGACCCTTAAAAAGTCAGCGTTGTGGGAAAAAAAGGATAGGAAAAGTACAACAGATTTCATAATGAACAAGACAAGCAAGTAGAACTAGATAACCAAAAAATGGAAAACAAAAATATACTGCAAGGAAAAAAGCTTAATTCAAGCTTACTGTGTAATATTTATGTATTCACATTAACAGAAACACAAAATTGAGATCCAGCCATAAATTCCGATCTTACTATACTTGAGGGGAGGGAACCGAGTATGTGTGTTGCGGTACAGCGGGGTAACTCCTCACGGATTTAATTCGGTTTTATGTGTTTGTTTTATTTCTGGGGCTCTAGGGTTGGAACCCGGGGTCTCATGCATGCTAGGCAAGCGTTCTACAGCTGAGCCACACCCTCAGCCTTAAAATAACAAGAGAGCTAGAGGTTATTTTATTTTATTTTATTTAAAAATTTTGTTTTCTTCTGGTACCAGGAATTGAACTCGCGACCTTGCACTTGCCAGGCAGGTGCCGTGCCGCTGAGCTAAATCCCGAGCCCCTAGAGGTTATTTTAGAAAGTGAAGGAAAAACAGGAAGAAATAACTTGGAATTCAAAAGAAATCGCCGCTAGGGATTGGTATTGGAGAAGGGCAGGCCCCACAGCCACTGTTTTCCATTGCAGTCTATGTATCATTACTTCACTTCTGGGAAATACATATACATATATATAACCTCACTAAAAATAAAAGTTGAATTAAAAGATTAAAAAGAAAACCCAGGTCAAGGCAAGTGACTGCGCAGAAGCAGGGGTCACTCCAGGTGTCACTGTTTGCCAGCTACCTACGTCAGGCCCTCCGGACCTGGCTAGAGGAGCCCTTTTGGGATGGTATCCTGCCTTCCCCCGTGACTCACGGCTCCCATTGTTCCCAGGCCCCTGCCCGTCCCCCACCGCCAGCCGAACTGGGGAGGGGGCAGAGAGAATTCGCTCGTGCTCTTTGTTTGCTGTGCAGCCCCACTCCTTCCCAAGGGGTACAGGTTTCCTTGCCAGAGACCAAGCGTCAGGCATGGGGCATTGAGTGCCAAGAAAGAGAAAACAACAATCTTAAAATACCCGCTTCCGCCCACTGTGGAAATTCAAGGTCACGTGGCTGAGCCGGACCTTTGACGCCAACTTGCCAGAAAAATCCAGTAGGTGAGCACCCACCCTTTGCCCTAGCACTTTCCATGACAGGGGCCTCGGTCACTCGGTGGGACGCCGTACAGGGTTGGAGGCAAACTGGAGGGGGACATCGAGGTCTTCGGCACTGACAGGCTTTTGCGTGTTCCCTGTGGCTGGACTGGGCAGGGCCCTGAGAGTGTCAGGGACCTCCTTGGTGAGGGACAGTGGGAGGGTGCATATCCCAGGGGAACCCAGACCTGCCAGGCCCCTGGTCTCTACCTCTCACCATGTGCCATGGTTTGACTGATGATGTCACTG